GAGCGGGCGTAACAAGAATGTATCGCTTGGTGCACATATATTGTTTATTGCATGACAGTCATTATCGATGCGGTGGCTGTTGAAATGAATCTAAAAAATAGCTTTTAGCTTTAGACCGATAGCCATGAAGATAACTGGCATGTTAAATAGGTAACTATTCAAATACAATCGTCACAGGCACCGGACAGGTGCCATAGTGGCGACCCGCTTCCATTCGTTTTGATCCTCTTCTCAGCCAACCACACACCCAGGCGTCAAAAGACAAATTTGTTAATAGTTGCCGGAGGCACGCACGAAACACTAAAGGGACGATTTAGCCATGAAGCAGCTAAACTACACGCGATGAGAAAACCACACCCAGGAACTAGCTCAAAGCTTTGCAGTTCGTGAGCGCGTGAGCATAAAACATATATAAACGTCCGAAGTGAACAGTGCGCATGCCTAGGAGGCTCAGTGCCAAGGGACAGAGTTTCAAAGTGTAGCTTTGTCTCTTTAACACCATTCATGAACAGTGGGAAGTCACTGCGTGGGATCAGAGCTATTAGCATATTGATACTTCGCTCAGTTTCTGTGCCTCAAGGGTTGAGATTGGTTTGTCGGTCTTATGCACAAAAACTCGATTTGCAATGTTGTTTCACACTTTTCGAAGACACCATGGAACCAGGTACCTGGACTCTGCCGACAAGATCACATGGACACATTGATGAACCACCAGAATATGCACGCATGCGCACACACCTCACACACACAGAGTCGAGCACAAAGGCACGTGCACACATTCACACAAAAGCTGCCTACTGTATGTGTTGGCCCACCCAAAAGGTGCTGAGGTTAAAAATAGTGCGCCCTTTCTTGGCTGCAGCAATACGAAGTGGTTAGGTCATTTTCGAATGTCAATTACAAATTTTCCAAGATGTGTAAACACTCCTGCACTCCAGAACAGCCCTTTATTGCTGCAGACTGGATCGCACTAATAGGAAAGGTAACCAGATGCTTTTTCCACTAGTGGTCGGTGTCAGCATCGTGCACTTCCCTGCTCTGCCGGAGGGCGCCTCAAAGTGAAAACCAGGATGCAGCATAGCAAAGTGAAAGGCGAGTCGTATATTGTTGCCTCTCATGCTGTCACTACTTCACCTTTTTCTGCATTATGTGCTGCGCGTGTGCACCTGGTCTATGCCAAAACATTTGCAGAAGGAACGCCATTCCCTCAGTCATTCCTACATAAACGTAACGCATTACCATTACAGTTCCACGAATCCTCAATGAAACGGTGGCGTTCTTTCGTTCCTCCATAAAGAAACTACAGTGCATTCCCAATAAACAAAACTCGGTTAAACAGGAAACCCACATAAATGAAACTATTGAGGTACGTTTGGTTCGTCTCCTATATATTTATTGATAATAGTTTCGGGTAATTGGAAAATTTTTTTCGCTTACATAGGGTAATGAAACTGAAACAGGCAAAATCTATGAACGTCAGAAGTGGTCACAGCTGTCTAGCAACCATGAAACTAGCCAAGCCAATCTAGCAATAGAACATGTTCGCGCATGCCAAGCAGTGATTGACGTCTCATCCTAAACTTGAGATGTAAAAAAAAAAAATGGCAGCACAATGCATTTTCACTCGCAGGGAAAGTAAGGATCATCCAAGAACTTGACCACAAAGAGCCCTACTGTGTCCTTCGTCAGGTCACACCTGTGACCTATTAGATATCCGCGACCGCAATCTTCTCGGCTGCTACTTCAGAACGGAAGTAGTTCACGTTTCTCATCTCAAGTCCTACAACGCTGACTCGCTCATTTAACAGGCACTGAGACGGTGCCTTACCGGCTGGGGTGATGGTACGTGTATGGAACTATCGCTCTAGCACAAGCACTGAAATGTCACCTAAAAGGAAGAATACGACAATGTGTTTTTTGTGTGGTTAATCTGTCGAGCTTCCCCATCAGCCTGCATGACTGTGCGCTCTGTACACGGCATTAGCAAGACCCACTGTCGGTGAATAAATTTTTTTCCCCAACAATATATATAACAGTTTGGATTAAGTCTGTTCACTTCATTATCATTGCATGCTTAGTAAAAACCACTGCATTTCTTTTTTTTACCAGAAAGAAAAAGTTTAACAGAGATGTGTGATCCTCTGCTCAAAAAATAAATTTCCATGCTCTAAAACACCCCTTTTGGTGCTCCAAATCTGTTTCAAAGCTCCTCTTTATTGCAACAAAACCGCAATATTCCTGCTCCCTGCTCCAAAAGGCTCAAGCCCGCTTCCACCCCTGCAATCGCTCTCGAACTTCATTCTGAATCGCTGCCTTCTTACACCACACCCAGGACATTTCAAGTCTTCTGGTCTTTTGATCATTCATCATACTTTTCTCCTGTACAAGGAGGGAGCTTTTCGTAGCGGCAGCTGCATTGGCGTCACAGAGAAGAAGACTAGATGCTCGCTCTAGCACGAGCCAGGTCCCGCTGGCACAGACCTGCACACACTGACACTCCATTCAGTTACTAAAATTCTTCACATCACGGTGGTCATGTCGGGCTCTCTCTCTGTCTGTTTAGGCCTAGACTTCACTAGTCTGTGAGGTCGCTCATTTGCATATACTCATAGGATTATATTACACTTGTTCTTTGAGGGGAATAAATGTTGTGACGAAAATGTACACCGTTTCTTGGCCAGGTGTGCTGAAAATTTTGGAATCGTGTAAGTAGCACAAAAGTATTTTTTTGGCCATGTCTTGAATTCTTTCCTGAGGAACAAAAACATTTTTTATGAAACTGACTTTGAAATCATTGTTTTCAGTTTGAAACCTGTGCTTCGAATACATTTCATCGAAATTGGAAATGGTGACTGGGTCCTCATGTTTCACCTTATCTAGACAGTTGATCCTGGATATATCAAGCTTGAAGGGCATTGTGAAGTATCGGTAATACAAAATACAAAATATGTGTACTTAAGGCTTAAATTGAAGCATTGCAGGCCAAGAAACATTTTTCATAACAAGCTTGAACATGACAATTCGCTTTCAATATGCTACAGAACTAGTTGACAACTTCTATTTTTGCAACTTACTGCACTTAGTTTGCATGAAAATAGTCCCTTAAACTCGTCTTGCTTTTTGCATGCCGACAAGTTCATGAAGTCATCCTTGTCATGCTTATCAAGTCATGCTTGTGGAAATATCATTGAAGTTCTTCAGTAAGTGTATTAAGCACCTTCATTCACAACAGGAGTGATTGACACTGAACTTTGATGCAAGCTCTGTAGCACGGTAAATTTTTGGTTACGAATGGTGGCGCCAGCTTCTTCATAACAACATGTCACTTGTAGCGCGGGTACACGTTTATGCCACTGCCTGCGTCAGCCATAAATGTGGCATCGATGGGGTCAGAAACAGCTACGTCATGATTTGCACCGACGAAGCAGTTCACTGTCTTAGATGGCCCTCCAAAATACTGATAAGGCACAAAATTCACTGAGGCCACATATGCCGTTGTCAGTAGTCATGATGTACCCAAAGTCATCCCCTGGCATCAAAGCCCGCAAGGAAACAGTTCACGACAGTGCTTTACTTCATACCGCTCTAAGCACCAGTCATAATTTTTGTCACTATAAGAAGATTAGTGTTTTGTTTGACTCCCGGCTTAGAATTTATGAGGAATGATGCGACAAGTACATAGTTTCACTAGCCACATGCGACAACAACAAAGAAACAAGTCCTCATTGTCAATGCATTGGCAATAGCGTTGTCATTTGTGGCTTTATAGCAGGCAGCTACTTCTTTGGTGCAGAAAGCAAGATATCTGTTCTAAAACTGAAAAAAACTTCATGAGGTTGTGCATCTCAAAGGCCAATATTTTCAGGCCTGCGTGCCATTGTGCGTGTACAAACAAGAAAAGGAATGCGAACATTGCAACAGGGTTGCCCAGTCACTTTGTATTCTCATTTCTCTGCCCTCGATAATTGGCCTTTTTTAAAAGCACTATGCTCATGCACTAAAACCTACAAACCGTGCATGAAATTTGTCGGGGCACTCACAAGTGCTGTGCTACTAAGCAGCTGATGAACACAATAGGATAACACCAAGTAATTCTGTAGTATATTCGAGTGTGACATATCTGGGATCGACTGTATGTTGTGTTGTTGATTTCTTTGCAGCAAGTTCAGGCTCGGGTGTTTGTGTGCAGAGATTTTTCCCTTGACGTCTTTTGAAGCAGATGCGAATTGAGCTCATGCAAGGCAATGGATATACAGAGTGAATCCCACTGAAGGACAGTTGAATTTGCTGACTTTATATTATATTGTACCAAGACGTATTTATTTAGGGGTCATGAGTCGAGGTATGAGAGCAAAATCCCATTGCACACCCGTAACAATATCAAGTGTAGCCGCTCCACGATGCTCATGTGCACGCATTGCCGCATGCATCACATTTTGTGTGGATATGGGACCAGTTGCGTTTAAATTATAGCTTCCCTGTCCTTGGCTCTCTCAATGCACTTTGAAACCGAAACAGGGACTGATATCTGTGAAAGGTTTTCAAGCAATGATTCATTGTACGCTGAAGCAAATGAAGCTTCTGTTTAGAATGAGAGGGGTTACTAATAGAATTAAAAAAGAGAACATGCAGAATATTGTGATCGTTGCCCCTCCAAGCTTGTTGCCCTAATGTACACACTTATGTGCAGTAATTGCAGCTTTTCACCTCTTGAATTGAAGAACTGAATTGCTCACCAATGGTTTGTTCACCTAATCCTAATCCAAAGGTTTTCAGCTGTTTCAAAATGTATGGTTACAGTACACCCTGTCTTAAAGGTCAATTGTAATACTTTTTTCTCGTTTTCACTGTATGCTACATTGATATGTATACTTCACACTGTTAACCTAGTGCTGCTATAGGGCTCATTGTCCTGTAGCATGCTCAAATTAATAAACTTACATCAGCAAAACAAGCTTCTCGTAGATCTCATGATCTTTTTTCTGTCTCTTGTTTTGCAGTTTATAGTGTTGTACAGCCAGGATGGAGAGTGCTATGGAAGCACCAAGATTCTTGGTCTTCGCCCAAAACATTATGAGGAACAGAAGCAGGCAGCAAAATCTTGTCCTCCACATCGAGCCAGCGCTGCTGGAAGCTGAGATATCGTATGGTTTTTAAGATCCGTGACAGTTTTTTCCTGCAGCCCCCACATTCAACTAGACAGCCAGTGAGCATGTTATACAGGGTTGGTAAATTAGTCGGAAAGTTGTAAACCTTGTAGCGGCAGCCAAGCCAAGCCGCCAGGCAGCGTCACATTTCACTGTTCTCTAGAACCTCCAGAGAACCCAAATAAAGCCAGTTTATGTTTGGAATCCTAGCCGCGTGGTCGTGTCTGCTTCTCCCGCACATACACGCAGCCCAACAGTGGTCACTCGGATTAGGCTTACTGCCTTTTTCAAGCCATCGATGCCATGGAGACTTCTCCTGATGCACCGGAGATCGCCACCGTCAACATCAGGCACCCTCCGTTTTGGCCAGTGGACCCACAGCTTTGGTTTCTGCAGGTGAAGACCCAATTCATTGCTCGTCGTATTGCCATTGAGGTAACAAGGTACCAACACGTGGTCGCCAGCCTCCCACTGACGATAGCGAGCGAAATACCCGATCTGTTGGTTGCTCCACCTACAGAGAACTCGTACACAATGCTTAAACAGCTGCTCATCAGCCACCTCACGCTATCAGAGCCTCAGCAACTGTAGCAGCTACTGCATGACACCGAGCTCAGGGACCGAAAGCTCAGGCTAATGTTGCGCCACATGAGGCAGCTGCCACACACGGCGGATGCAACCACCACTGATGCTGACTGCAAACTGCTTTGCAAACTGTTCCTACAGCAACGTGCGCATGGTGCTCGCCTTGGCTGCCGACAAACCCCTGTTTCAACTCGCCGAGCTCAGCGACTCGGTGCTGGCAGTCGCACCTACGACTGCACTGCATGACATCCGGAAGCAGATATCTCGCCTCACTGATGCAGTGATGCAAGCCCGCAGCACTCTCGAGGAGCGCCACGCCCAGCAGCGCAACAGAGAATCTGCTGGTATCACAAGAAGCATGACAATGCTGCTCGCAAATGCATTCCTTCTTGCGACTATGCGGGAAACGGGAGTGGCCGGGTTTAAGGATGACCAGTGTCCCAGATGGTTCCGAACGTCATCCATTAGTGTTTTTCCTCGACAACCGCGAGAGTGGCCTTTGATTTTTCGTGGACACCGGCGCGGAGATGAGTGTATTGCTGGTTGAGTCCACCGATTGCCGTATCCCCAGCACGTCCCTCCTTCAGGCGGTCAACAACACAACCGTGATCACCTACGGACATCGCTCACTACCACTCGATTTCAGGCTTGAACAGGATGTTCTGGTCGATTTTCATCATGGCAGAAGTGACGTTCGCCATTAGGGTGTGGACTTTCTTCGACATTTCAACCTTCTCGTCGACGTTCGCAACAGCCACCTTCACGATACCGTGTCACAGGCAGCTGTGCAACGCGATCTCTCAAAGCACCTTTCGATGAGCCCTACTCTGCTCTGGCCGTCTGGTGCAGAACATTTTACTCGCATTCTGCAGCGTTTTCTCGATTTGACGAGGCAGCTGCCAGCCAGTGCCGCAGCGAAGGCAAGAGGTCTGCCACTACATTGCCACCAACAGCCCACCCGTGCACTGGGTGGCCTCGCCGTTTTCCCCCAGAGGAAGGTGAAGGTCGGACGACAGGAATTTGAACACATGATGGAGCTAGGGATTATCAGACCCTCGTTGCGCACCTGGGTATCTCCACTTCACATGGTGCCAAAGTCAACTCCCAGAGACTGGCGATAATGTCATGACAAGGCTTCAGGGTGCCACAATCTTCTTGAAGATCGACCTGGTGCGGGCATACCATCAAATTCCCGTTGCCTCAGAGAACGTCCCAAGGACTGCCATCGCAGCGCCTTTCGGACTTCTCGACTTCCTCCTCGTACCCCAAAGCGCGGGTCAGACATTCCAGCAGTTCATGAACGGTGCTGTACGTGGCCTAAACATCTGCGTTGCTCATCTTGATGACTTGCTAGTTCCCAGCAGGCTCCGTAAGAACACGTGAATCTTCTGCGCATTGTTTTCCAGCGCTTAGCGGGGCGTGGCTTGGTCGTGAACATGGCCAAATGCGAGCTTGGCATGCGTCAACTCTTGTTTCTTGGACACGTCATCTCTGCTTCAGGAGTTATTCCTGAACCCAACAAGGTTGAAGCTGGGCAAGAATTTCCGCTGCTGACCGCCAAGCGCCAGTTTCGGGAATTTCTGCGTTTGATAAACTTCTACTGCCGTTTCATTCCCCACTGTGCCCAGCTCATTCAACCTCTTCATGACCTGCTGGCCACTTCACGGAATGGCTCAGACATCCTCTCTCATAGCTCCAAGAAAAAAAAAATAGCAGCATATCCACGGAGTGAATGATGGAGAGTGGGGCGAAGCATTCGTCCGTCCATGCGTCCGTCTGTGTGACCGTCCATGCGTCTGTTCGTGCGCCCGTCCCTGCGTTTGTTCGTGCATCCGCCACTGCGTCCGTTCATGCGTCCATCTATGCATCTGTCTGTGTGTCCGTTCGTCCATCTTCTATTCAACACTCCAAGTCCCACCATCTCGCATCTCTTCATCATATATTCCCCATATAGAAGCACCGCCATTCAGTGGACATTCCAAGGACTAAACGAGAGGTGGCACATGCACACTTTCTTACGGCTTGCGTTTCGGGTCTACTTCCCACCTTCAACCACCTTGAGTTCATGGTATATACTAGTTCACTGTATTCATGGCACTGCGGCCCAATGCTCGCTAAACCTTTCTAAAACCAAGGAGGTTACGCCCAGCGAGTATAACGTAGCAACATTTTCCTGTCAGATAGTGCTCAATGTATTCCTCTGTGGGTACACCCAGCGAGTATAATGTAGCAACCCTTTCTTGTCCGATAGTGCTCAATGTACATGCCAATGACTGCTAATGGGGATCGCAGCGTGCGCGTTGACTAAAAGCCGAATGCTCCTGTCTCTCATTCCCCATTAGCAGCCATTGGCATGTACATTGAGCACTATTTTTTATTGTTAAACAACGCACAGAAGAAACCTCTCACCGGCACCACCTTGGAGGTCAAATGTTATACCTATTTCGGGTATGTGCCACTAGTGATTACGTACTACGAGGAACGCACAAGCCATGCCATAAGGAGCTTCGCCCTAAAAAAAAGAAGCCTTCTTCGAGGTCAAGGACGCCTTGGTAAATGTCGCACTGCTTGAATACCCCAGGTCCAGTGTCCCGCAGAGCGTAATGATAGATGCATCCGGTACAGCCTGTAGGGCTGTATTACAGCAGCTCTTTGGGGGAATTCGGCGCCCGATTCTCTTCTTTACGAGGAAGCTAACGCCTACCATGTGCTGTTACAGCACCTTTGAGAGAGATCTACTGGCAGTGTACGCTGCCATATAAAATTTTCATCATTTCCTTGAAGGTGTAATGTTTTTCATCATCACCGACCACAATCCACTTACCGTATCCATTTTGCTCACTAAGCTCTGATGGTGGAATGCATACAGCATGTGAACGGCTCCAAATGTTTTATATATGAGAGTTCACAACTGATATCCGCTGCGTCAAAGACAGGGGACAACGAGGTAGTGACGCCCTCTCATAGAACTCTGTGAACGCCATCCATTATGCCCACACTACAGGTTGATTTTCCAGCATTTACCGCCGCTCAACGTGAAGATGACGAACTGAAACAGCTGTTGGCCGTGAGCACTGCCCTGAATCTTGAGTGGATCCCAGTTCCCAGATCCGAGGACAGAGTTTGCTGCGACACAACTGTCAGAAGAACTCGCCCGTTCGTGCCTGCGAGCCTCCTTCGCCAGGTGTTCAAGTCCTTGCACAGACTGTTTCATCCGGGGATTAGAGCCTCCCAATGACTGCTGACGGCAAGATTTGTCTTGCCAGGCATAAATCGGGACGCGCGACACTGGGCACGTGAATGCATGGCTTGCCAGCATTCTAAGATACGACGCCATACCTTGACAGCACTAGGAACACTGCCCACTCCGGATTCTCGGTTTGATCATGTCCACCTGGGCGTCGTTGGCCCACTGCCACCCTGCCACGTGGAGGCTTACATGCTGACCGGTGTCGACAGGTTCACTCGCTGGGCAGAGACCATGTCATCGTGTACAGCGCTACCGAAACGGTTGCGAGTGCTATCGTGTACCACTGGGTAGCCCGTTTCAGGGTGCCCTACACGATAACAACAGACTGGGGCTCATAATTCGAATCTGCGCTTTTCACAGCCATCAGTCAGCTCATGGGCATCCTCAAACATTCGCACGATGGTGTACGAACCAATGAGCAACAACATGGTGGAGTGCTTTCACCACCAGCTGAAGGCTGCGCTCACGGCAACCCATGAACACAACTTGGTGGAGGCCCTCCCACTCGTTTTTTTTTGGTATATGGTCCACCTTGAAAGAGGAGATTAGCTGCAGCACCGCTGACACCTGGTCTACGGCATTACACTCAGGCTTCCGGGAGTGTTCTTTGCGCGCAGCTCAGAGGAAGCCTCCATAGCTTGCAGCGACTATGTGTTTCGCCTAAGCAACGTCGTGAGCAAACTGTGCGCGGTACTTCCACGTGGCCCCCAAGGTTGCGTGTGGTGGACATCGACCGACAGCTCACATCGTGCCCATATGTGTTTGTACGACATGACACGACGCGGTCTGGGGACATCTTCAACCACCCAATGTTGGGCAGTTTCAAGTCCTCCGCTGTGGCAACAAACAATGTACAATCAAGAGAAGCAGTAGTGACGAGGTTGGACCACGTCAAGCCAGCACATATGGACCGTGACGAAGCCGTGTTGCTTCCACTAAGAGAATCATCGCCAAGACCCCCAGCTCCAATATCAGCCCAAGCCCACGGGTGCCCTCCTGGCTGACGCACAGCGGGCGGCTATCAAGAGCACCCACTCGCTTGGACCTGTAACTCTGTTCAGAAACTCACTAGTTCGGTGAGTGCTGTGGCAGCAGCCAAGCCAGGCAGCGCCACCCTTCGCTGCCCTCCTGAACCACCAGAGAAACCGAATAAAACCAGTTGATGTTTGGGATCTATGCCGCATGGTCGTCTCTGCTTCTCCCGCGCATACGCACGCCCCAACAAAGGTATATGACTGGTGCAAGCATGATAATCATAACATGATGCACTCGCGGTCGTTTTGCTGGCTTCACATATAACAAATTTAGTAATAGCGCTACATGAATCGACGACGAAAGTATGTGACTGGTGCAAATATAATAATCATGATACGC